CTAAGCATTACAACCCAACACAAGGCATTGATTCGTGTTATTATCACATAACAATATTCAAATCAGTTTCAACCGACATTTGCATGGTCATTGGCATTGCCTGATTGATCGCAAATGCATGTGATAACCTTAAGAGGTTTAAATTGTCTAGCCTATAATGGCCATTGTGTTACCATACGAACTTGCTGATAGCTATCTGCTAAAGATCGCCCGGATTAGTCTCAAGTAGGTCTTCAGTATTTTGTTATAAATGGATCGTAAAGACTAAAGAACCTTTACAAATTAACTTATATATACCAATAAAACGTTCCTGTCGTAATGACGTGTCGAACAAACGACAAACGTTTATACGCATAGGCGTACGGGTGGAATAAAATTAGGGGGGCGGGAAAAAATGTGCCCAACGTTGATGGAAATTGTCCAGCATTATCTTTGCTGATAGATGTGATAAATTATGAATATAAGGTAAAAAGAAGGAGGACATCTTGCACGAAAATACAAAGTCAACCTTAAACGATAAATAAAAAATATACATGAAACAATATTTATACGACTATTTCTGAGATTATCTGGAAATGTCGATAAACGTAGCCAATTACAGTTGATTTCACGAAACTTTGGCCACGCCAGTTGCGAGGTTGGTTGGGAACTTGGGACCTATAAACACGAGATCATCAAGTTGATTGGAAACCGGCCAATCAAATTCGGAAGTTTCGCATCAAATTATCGAAATTCGTTGTGAAATTCCGAACCAAGTTCGCAAATTGCAAACGATTTTGGCGGTAAATTTTAAAAACTAAACTTATTGTATTAAACTTATTCATTTAATAATAAAGGGCTATAAAGGTATTTTTGAGCTATGTTTTTATTTGCTAGTTTTCTTCGTTTAGATTTGGTTTCGTCACCGAATATTGTTTACGGAAAAGCATGTTTAATTAACAATCGCTTTAGAACTACTTTTTCGGTAACCCCCACCCCCAGAAAAAATGTTTATAAACCCAGTTTATATGATATTTGTTTAGAATATGGTATTAAAGACGTTAAATTCATCTTTATTTATTTTTTGAAACAAGTAAACAAATCAAAAAATTTTCCCGCCAAAACTTACGGTTGCCAGTAAGAGTTCAAACGGCTTGTTTCCTTAGCTGTTTCGATGAAATTTGTGTTGGTACAAGTACTTATTATACAATTACTTTATGGTTTCCGTGTTTGGATGGCCTGATCCAAACACGCGGGAATGTTGCGAGAGTTAAGAAAAGCGAGCGAAATCACGAGCCGAAGGCGAGTGATTTTGCCCGCTTTTCTTAACTCGAAGACTTCCTATTCTTAAAAATGATCCAATGATATTTTTTCTTCACATAACGACCTTATAAACGTGTAAAAACGTTTAAAATTCGAGCCTGTCAAATTGACATACGGGAAATCGGTCCGGATACGGGAAAATACGGACCACGGTCCGGATACGCATTTTACGGACCGCACGTCGACCAATCAGAATCCAGGATTCTGCAAAGCCATATAATAATAAATAATATCATAATAATAATAATTTCAGGTTTAAAATTATAATAAGTTTAATTAATACAATACGTTTAGTTTTTAAAATTTACCGCCAAAATCATTTGCAATTTGCGAACTTGCTTGCGAACTTGGTTCGGAATTTCATAACGAATTTCAATAATTTGATGCGAAACTTCCGAATTTGATTGGCCGGTTTCCTAGTTTCAACTTGATGATCTCGTGTTCAGTCCAGATGATCTTGATACGCGGAAAAGTACTGGCACTAGTTGTCAAATAGAAATCCATTTTATGATTAAAACAACTGAATATCTCCTGTAATATACTTTATTTCCATTCCATATTTTTGTCAGAGCTATAGTTCTCATAACCAAACATAATTACAAAATTTCAACTAGTTTCATAAAGAATGACGAAAGATATAATTGACTGAATACATCAAAATGGATTTCTATTCGGACAACCCTTTCTGAGCGCTGATTGGCTAAATTACGAACACGAGATCACCTGGGTTATAGTTCCCAAATTCCCAACCAACCTCGCAACTGGCGTGGCCAAAGTTTCGTGAAATCAACTGTAATATATTATTATACAATATTATTCTCAAAATTATTCTGACTCTTATTTTATTCTTTCCAGCAATTCTAGTCAGATTTTCTACTGGACGATTTATTCATGAATACCATCCAACATTAGGTGAGATAGCAATAAACACGTGGTTGAGTTAATGTGCACTAGCTTGTACTTGACTATACAGGACATGACTATATGGAAATTCAACACGCTGTCGTGCATCATAAACGTGGCTAAACAATTCAATTTTTACATAGGACGAAAGAACAGTTATTTAGCTTTTCAATGATACTCTTTTTAGGCTAAATTGTAACGATGAGAAATGGCCACATACTCGTCAAATAAAAATTGCCGGTCGAAATCACATTCTTCCACCGTTGGGAATTGCATGGAAAACGAAACATAGACAATTCCCAGGAGGGAATTAAAGTTGAATGTTAAATTATCTAAAATGAGCTCAAGTCGTCAATCTTCGTCTCCTGGGAACGAGAGAACGTCCATTATTGCATTAAACATGGGTTCAATTAACCACTGAACAGAGAATATTCGCAATTAAAACTTTTTACGAAACAAATAGCTTCCAGCAGGCTCGCGTTGCTTTTGGATTGATTAACTTTGCATAATTAATGTATTTTCAATTCCCAACGGTGGAATAAAGAATGTGATTTCGACGGGACAATTTTTATTTGACGAGTATGTGGCCATTTCTCATCGTTACGGTTTAATTAAGAAAGGTATCATAGAAAAGCTAAATAACAGCTCTTTCGTCCTATGTAAAAATTGAATTGTTGAGCTAAGTTTGTGATGCACAACAGCCTGTTGAATTTCTATGGCGTTTTTTTATAGACACCCTGTACATATACGGATCAAAGTATAATCGATATAGAAGTAGTCACTTTCGGGTAGTTTTGGTACCTTCATGCATATACGTACCATATATACCTGCAGATTTTGTTGTTTTCAAACTTTTCGTGAACATGTTCCGTCATGACTTATGTATGACAATGTATCCTCGTGTCATTGTGTGTTTTGTTTGGAGCTTGACAGTTAAGTCCTGGTAAATCACAGTTAATAGAATACATGGACATGGTTTGGAGACTCGATGAGATGAAAGTACAATATAACTCATTAACTATGTTAGTTATGCATGTTGGTTTCGGTTTATGCAAGAATTTGGGTCTATCTCGTCACGTGCATGTGTATTTTTTCCCGCACAACCAATAGCAATGTTTAAATTGAGCATTTGTTCAAGTTACGGATGGACAACTCAACCACAAACTTGTTATTGGTTATTTGAGCGAAAATACAATACACACGTGACGAGATAGGACCAAATTCTTGCATAAACCTGGACAATAACATAGTTAATGAGTTATATTGTACTTTCATCGAGTCTCCAAACCATCTATTAAATAACTGTGGGTAAATCGAGGATGAGAGTCGATGAGAGTTGGAAAGTGGGAGAGAGTTTTCCGAACTTGGTCGTGCTCAGGTCAAACAAGATCAAGGGCTAACATGAGAGTTGACTGGATATTACCGGGCGCATAGCGAAAACTTCCCATCATCAATTCTCATCAAAATTTGGACCAGCTCAAAGTTGATGAGAGTCGATGAGCATTGGCGGTCAAACGCGAGCGAGAGTTGCAACTCTCATCAACTTAGTTTCGCTTGTACGAGTTGTTAGGCTAAACATCAGGACAAATGTCCACGCGGTGCGCGAACCCGAAACCTCGCCCGAAACCTCCAGATCGCTAACCATACATTCAGTTCTGCCATGCACTTCTTGGTCTATAACTTGTATAAGTTAGAGTGAAATAACTTCATATTAAGTTATATTATGCGCTGCTGTGTTGTTTTGTTTGCAGCTTGATACTTTGATAGTTATAGAAATTTGTTTGTTTTGCTTCTACAGCAAGTGCTGAGAATGCTTTAGCGTTTGAACGAACAAACAAGACAAAGCAATAAATTATATATGTTTCTCACTTGTTAGAGATGACGTATGAAATGTTCGCTGATATTGACGAAGATACAGCTTTATTGCGTATATTTGACACAGCTAACACGGTAACGTGTGCATTATGCACTAGTCAATTGAAACCCCGGGACAGGGTGGGGAATTAACGGGGACAGGGCCGTGGATTAACGCGTATTTAATGTATAGCATTTCCCCCGGGGTATATACAGGGTAAATAACGAATCTATAATTCAAGGGATTACATAGCCGGGACTTTAACGCTCGGCTGGGACAAAATTGGATTGGAACGAGTTTATCCTCGCGGGAACTTAGTGATACTGTATCTTTGATAAATTAAAGTTTGAAATACTGTATCTTAATTAATTGATCGCAATGAACAATATGGCGCCTTGTACGTTTAACGGTCATAATTATTTACAGTATATATAAACATTATATTTCGTATAATTGCCAGAAAATAGGGCTTTTATTTGAGGTAAACAGTTGATTATTTTAAGTAAACTGATTTAAAGTCGCGAAACATTATGGTTAAACGGTACCGTCGCCATTTTCTCGGCATTGTCAGTGCTTTGACACCTTTGTTTTTATATAGTTATTTTTTCAGTAAACATGAAGCTCTACAGGAAGATGTTTTGTGACTGGTTGATTATGACAATGACAAAAGACATAATTGGCTTACGTAAACAAAAGGAATATTGTTCTTGCTTCGTTCTTTAGAAAATCCATTCTATAGCTTATTCTTTTGTCATTGTCCGGCATAATCAACCAGTCACAGAACATCTTCCTAGAGCTTCGTGCCGACGCTCTTTTTTACATGCATGCATGCGTGCACATTCGTAACACTTGGTAAAATGTTGTTCATGTTAATTAATGTGTTATTATAATGTTAAATGTTGATGTTAAATTGTTATTTTGATATAAATTACATGCATTCCCAGTTGGTAAAGTTTGGAGGGAATTTAATGGGAAAATGCAGGGTTTAAGTTGGATCAACGTTGATATACAACGTTCAAAATCAAGAACATTTTCTTCATATCATTTGTGAAGAAAACCGCATGTTATACCTTAACAATTTCCTTCAGTCATTGGCAAATTGTAAAGTACCGGGGCCATAGGGAGCGGGTAAATACTAATATTTACCGACTGTCAAAATGTTTAATTCCCCGCCCTGTTCCGGGGGTTGGGGAGCCGGAGTTTCAATTGACTAGTGCATTAGTAATATATCATTTTTTTCGTTAAAATAGGTCAAATTACCTTTAAATATACGTAACATGGAATTGAGTTTTTTATGCAAACTTGTTTTTAAGCTAATTCACCGCCGATCTTCGATGTTGTCGCTGTATTATTATCTCGCTGTATCATTATCGCTTATATTTTTATATAATTGTTTTGTTCGATATAATAAAACATTTTATATATTGGATTCATCTTCGCCCAATATGGCGAAATATTAAGTCTCGACTTCAATATTACTGATTAGGATCGACCCATACATAACTAAACATTCAAATTTGTCGAAACATGTCGGCAAACGAAACTATCTCATTCATGATGAGGTCTTTTTTACAGACGGAGCCAGTGCATTTAACAGAAGGTCAGGGGTTTCTAGTTGTGTATTCCATAGACAACAGGCTAAGCTTTGAAACGGCTAAGCAACTGGTGAAATTAACGAAAGAGTTCAAACGTTTGCGACGTGTGAATCCATCAGTTGTCCTGGTAGGAAACAAACTGGACTTGGAACATCTTCGTGTGGTTTCGAAAAGAGAAGGGAGAATATTTTCCATGAGAAATGACTGTTCCTTCTTTGAAACTTCTGCTATGGATGATGTAAACATTTGCACAACTTTTCACGAGGTTGTACGGCAAATACGAGGAGGAAACAAGAATCGATCTACACTAAGCAGGAAGCCGTCGTTCACAAAACTGTTTTCCAGATGAGCTTCACTTTCCATGGCTGCAGTGATACATAACCGACCTACTACTAGCTGAAACAACATTTTTACATCACTTAATTTGTGAAGTTTCACATTCGTACACAGGCATTTCCATTGCATGCATGGGTTATTTTAACAAGAAATGTACATAATTATATAGATTCATGAGAATAGAATGTTTCGATGTTAATTATTGGTTATTGGGAAGATTCTCATTGAAATTAAAGCAAACATGATTTCAAGATGCAGAATCGAAAAACGACGTAAACTGCATGCTCACTTACAAAAATTTGCTCACTTACCGAAAGAACAACATTTCGAAACCGAACATTCGATGAGGTTAATTGATTTAATGGACCAAAGCTATGGCACAGAGGCTATGGTCGATAACAACCTCGTTCCCAGGCTCTTCAGGAGAGAAGAGTCTGAGAACGAGGTTAGGTCGATGAAAGGAAAATTTATATTGTATCGAGAAAATCGAGTAACTTTTAAAAAGGCCATATATATAAATCGCTAGAATATTGATATTGACTAAAACTGTTGTTAGGAATTAGGAGGTATTTTTCACTGAATCAAACGGTGGTACTTTTTTCTAAAACATCGATTTTCTCTAAACTTGTTGCTAAATCCCAACTTTTTTCTAAAATTTCGGTTTCGAAGGATTTTTGTAGATAGAAATTTCGAGCAGAAGTCGAAGAAAGAAAAAAGTCGAAGAAAGAAAAAAGTCGAAGTTTTGGAAACAAACATCAGTATTTTAGAAAAAATTCAAAATTTAAAGAAAAGTCGAAATCAGTAGAGGGAAAAGGAAAATTTAAGAAAAAAGTCGAAATTTTAGAAAATATGGGAGTTTTAGAATATCGAATTTTTTTTTGGGGGGGGGGGATTGGAATTTAAGAAATATCGAAATTTTAGAAAAAGTCGAAATTTTAGAAAAAATATCAGGATTTTAGGCATCTCACTCGATATAACTAATTATTAAAAAAGTTTTAACACTTTTTTATAAAACTCAGTAATAATTCATGAGAAAATACAAAAGAAATAAATGTTTAATCAATGTTTGTAAATTGGATAAAGATTTGTCTTGATTTACATAAACATCGGCTTAGTACTTCGCCAATGAACTCATAAGATAGGTCGTTTTGTATAAGCACGATAAAACATTCGCATCCGATCTTTATCTGACATACAAACTATCGCCTTCGGCTCGAGTTTTTATATCAGATAAAGATCGTTTGCTCATGTTTTATCTAGTACGTAAAATTCCGATTTTTTCTCTAAAATTTCAGAATTTTCTCTAAAAGTTCGACTTCCTTTTCAAAAATTTGGTCACGTTTTTTCGAAAATTTCAAATCTTCGTAAAATTTCGAGATTGTTCTAAAATTTCTAATTCTTTTATGTTTGTTATTTTAAACTGAAATTAGTTTTGGATTTTTATAGAGTGCAAACACGACTGTTGTAAATTGGGAACAAAAGAGATTTTGGTATTATTATTATTATTTTAATTAATATAACATACTATGTTCATCAAATATTCCATTCGTAAATTCGTTGCAGTTTAATTAATTAAGAAACAATTGGCTACTGAAATTAATTTCGGGCCATGTTGGACATTATTAAGTTCGGCGAAAGAAGTTAATTGTAGAGGGAGCAATTCTTGAGCCTGGGGGGCTGGGTATAATAATTCACATTGCTCAGTCTATATATGAGCAAAGGTTAAACGTGACGACCGTCGAAAAGTTTTCTTCAGGTTGGGAACGTACGTTACAACACATACACTAAAATTGTTTGGACAGCCGTTTAATTAATTAATTTAATGTTTTTGCTGCTGCTCACTTTCAATATTGTCGTTTGTTATTCTGCTTCTCAGTAATCGGTATTTACAGCGCCCTTGTATGTGGAACAAGTTCACTCACGTTCTTCAGTTTGAAGGTTACAATACATATCTAAACATGTCCAACTACTATCAAACCACATGCATTGCACGAGAAGTCCAGTTGTCCACGACCACGATCAATCCATTCGTCCAATATGTGGGAAAAGTAAACACTGATGCTGTTAATGAAGCAATATGCTGTTAATACGTTCAAAGACGAATTCTACAGATGCAACTGGTAATGTAATCAAATATGTGAAAATAGTTAGAAATCAGTCAAAGCGAATTAATATTAGACATGAAGGAACACCCACAGATGTTGTACGTTGCAACAACGTCGCCACACTGTCACTGTACATATTTAGATATTATCATATATGAAGAAAAGAAAACGCAGGTTGATACGTTTTGTAGTCGGGGGATTGTCAGACTGATAATTGTGCTCTTTCAGTTGGTTACGGTAGCAAATACAACGGGTATCAGGTGAATATAATGCTGATCCAAATACAGGTATAACGTAAAACAACTTTCATTAGTATTTTTGCACAAGTGAATATAACAAATTAATCCTGCATGTTCATTGGTCAAATTTGACGTATTAAGCTGTTTTATTATAATTACATGGTTGCCGTTGAGTTGATTATAACGCGATAATCGCCTAAGCGATTTTCGAAATGGCGGCCGAAGCCGTTTTGTCAATTAAATGACGAAGAAATAGGCGGGAATTTTATTCAAAGCGATGGCGAGTACAATTAGGGATTAATAGTACGAGTGATGTTTGGAAATTTTGCCAAAATGGGACGAGCCGCCGTTGTTTATTGTTAGCATGACAAAATTGGATACTTCTCAATGACAATGTCAACATCATATATTCTCTCGCCAAAGCCCAGTCCTACCAGACTTTCAACCAAAATTTGGTGCTTCTGTTCGTATTTTCATTTAGTACTTTTGTTGAAGAAAAATTTTTTGCTTTTAATTTGTTCGTATTTTCATCTAGTTCCTCTGCGGCAATTTCACTTCACATTTGTGTTTAATTTAAAATACCTTTCCGCCATTTTGTTTGTTTTGGGAAAATCATTTTAAAATTGTACTGGTGCCGGTCAGAGGGGGCCGGTTGTACGAAAGGCGCATAAGTTATCCGGTTGATAAGTCCTAACCAGAGGATAAATCTCCTATCCAATGGATAGTTATTTGTTGGCCGGATAAAAATGCGTTGTACGAAGCACGGATAGCAGCCTTAATCCAGGTGATCTCGTGTTCGTATTTTAACCAATCAGCGCTCAGAAAGGGTTGTCCGAATAGAAATCCATTTTGATGTATTCAGTCCATTATATCTTTCATTATTCTTTATGAAACTAGTTGAAATTTTGTAATTATGTTTGGTTATGAGAACTATAGCTCTGACAAAAATATGGAATCGAAATAAAGTATATTACAGGAGATATTCAGTTGTTTTAATCATAAAATGGTTTCTATTTGACAACTAGTGCCAGTACTTTTCCGCGTATCAAGATCACCTGGATAGCAGGGTGGATAGCTATCCGTCGGATAACATTAAATTTATCCGGACGGAAAACTGGATTTTCCTGAAATTTCTTATCTCTACGCCAGTTGTTGCTAGGCATTTGTAAACTTTTGTTGTAGTATCTTCGTATAACTTGTGAATTCCACTAACCTAACTATCTAACCTTGGAGTTTTTTTTCGTCCAATCGTTGCAATACTTTGTTTTTCCACAGTGAAGAATTTGCTATCTACTTATCGATATTCGTTTAAAAGATTTTTAGCTTCTTTTGCGAAGGCAATAGCAAAGACTATGAGTTTTGTTTTCTTGTTTCAGCCGTTGATCCGAATATTTGTTCTTTGACCTTTCACTTCATTCAAAACAATTTTAAGAACAAGATTTGATTGGCTGATCAAGGTTTGATTTGATTCGCAAGATTTGATTGGCTGATCAAGGCCAGCAACAATATTTTTCGACTTTCGGCGCCTGCTGTTTTAATACACTACGCCACGGTATAATCCGGTAGGCGACGCGGCGTAAAAGTCACTCCGCTTTGGAGGTGATATAAAAAGTAATCAAGTATGTGCCGAAGCAGTGTAAAGCCGATTTTCCACTTCAAGCGTACCGTACCGAAACGTATCAAAAAGTTTTTAAATTTCAAAATTTCGCGAATGTTGATTGGTGAGTACTTCCGTAGTACGCCAAAAAGTTGACTTGCGACGAACTTTTTATTTTGATACGCGAGTGCACCCGGAAGTACATGGATTTATAAACCTCTTTTCAATCTGCGCATGCTCACCAGTACGTTTCGGTACGATACGATACGGGCGAAATGGAAAACCGGCTTAAGCAGGCAAATCCGGTACGCTTCGGTACAAAATCGGTTTTGACGTGTACGTTTTACCATTGTCGCCTTTAAGGCCGTTTTTCACTGGCGGAATTTTGCGCGCGGAGCGGAATTTTTCTCTGTCTTGTGATTTCTCGGGTGGAACTAATTAGAAAAGACAAAGAAAGATTCCGCTCCGCGCAAGGTTCCGCCCAGTGGAAAACCGACTTTACTTGCTCGCTTTTACAGTACTTTAGAGCTGTCGTTTGTTTCGCTTTACAACCATTTACTATTTCTGGCGAAGACGAATAAAGAAAACGATAATAACATTGACTTTTCGCTTTCGATAGGGCAAAATTTAAAGAAATACTCGTCAATTTTGGATTAGAGCGAAACGAAGCAACGTCTGGTAGTCAAGCTTTTCAAATAAAGTTATACTTTACAACGAAAACGTGTGTTACTTCTTGTTTTTAATAAATTTTAGTATACTGGTAAAAATATTACTTGTTTCCATGGCGACAGCCGAGACATGAGTTGACAACAGAGCGAACTCGAAGCGGGCATGCATAGTGTAAACACCCTTGTTTTTTACTTCGGAGTGAAAATTAATCCGGTATGAAAAGTAATCCGGTATAATGTAAACAGCTATATTTGTTTGGCGTTGACGGGAACTTATTTAATGAACGTTTTATTGCTTGTTTTCGAGCTATATAATAGAAAAAAAGAAGGAAAAAAGCCAGACAACTTAACGTCTAAGCACGGACACTGGTCTTCGTAAAATATGGCACAGTCATGCCATTATTTAATGGGCAAGTGATTCAAACTGTCAAAGTGAGCTCGGTGTACGTCAACAGCAAGAGAAGTCATAAGACAAGTAAGTTTCCATGTTTATTTAGTGTCAAAAAAAGGACTTTTAAACGCTATTTGTCCATTTCTATCACAATAGCAATCCCTTTTAAATGAAATACACATTAGGGCCATTTATACGGGACAAAATAAGTCGCGACTTACATATGACGCGACTTAAATAAGCGGAGTTATCGCATAAATGGTTCTCTACGGCTTTGGTCTTATTTATTTGCTATAGCTATAATGTTGTTTTGTTTGTTTTTGTTTTAATATGCAAGGCTAATAATTTTATGTTGTTTCAAGTTTCTGGCATGTGTAGTTAGACTTTTTGTCCAAAATTTCTTATTTAAGACGCGACTTAAATAAGAACAGCTAAAAGGCCTGTTCTTATGTAAGACGCGTCTTATCCAAGACGCGTCTTACATAAGAATTTTGTGCCTTTTATACGACAAACTCGCGTCTTATTTAAGTCGCGTCTTATGTAAGTCGCGTCTTATTTTGTTCCATATAAATGGCCCTATTGACATTGTTTCGTCTTCAAACTTTGAGCTCATCCGCCGGATAGTGGATTTGAAACTACCTCCGGACCTCGGATGAATTTATCCAACGGATAGTGCATTTTTATCCGTTGGATAGCGCCATCCAAGCTTCGTACAGTGCTTTTTATATAGATCAGTGGCTAAGTGAGCGAGCGCGCGGGAGTGCTTGGGGAGGACCCCTGCGCGCTCCCTCAGCTTAGCCATACTGATCTATATAAAAAACACTGTAGTGTGCCTATTTTTAGTTCTTTGCGCCTGGGTACGAGGCTGCCTTGCAGGTGTGTTGTCATTAATTAACGAAAAAAAAAGAATCTAATCACATGGAACTATAACAAATCTAATTTGGGCATTTTGGTTATCTGGTCATTACCCGTCATTCATTTCACCGGTGACGCTTATTAATTAAGCGCAAGTGAATCGAATTCGGCGGTTTCAACGATAGGCAAAGAATAAATAGACATGGCCATATATATTTTTTCCTCTCCCAAAGAATTAATGACAGGTACTAAAGAAATGCACCACCCACGAAACAACGCGAAAATAGAAACGGCAATCATCACACATGTCCTTTCGCGATGTCACGAGGTGAATTTCGAACGCGAAGGGGTGGCTGGCATAGTAGGCGCACAAGAGCAAAGACGGAAACAACAGTGGACTGTTTTATTTGTTTTGATGAAATAGTTAGCAACGAGAAGTACGCGTTCGACATGCCTTGTTGCGCAAAATTTCTGCATTTAAAGTGCTGGGAGACGTTGGATACCGTGAAGAACGAAAGTGAACATAATGCATCATGTCCGATGTGTCGGACACGGTGGAAAGGAGATTACGAAGAGACGTGTATTCTCTGCTTTCTGCCACTGACTTCGCAGATGGAGTGGTGGCCAAGGTGTGCGCCAGACGAAAGACAAAGGTTCAAGCACAAAGAAAATAGAAACGGCAATCATTACACATGTCCTTTCGCCATGTCACGAGGTGAATTTCAAACGCGAAGGGTGCCGCATAGTAGGCGCACAAGAGCAAAGACGGAAACAACAGTGGACTGTTTTATTTGTTTTGATGAAATAGTTAGCAACGAGAAGTACGCGTTCGACATGCCTTGTTGCGCAAAATTTCTGCATTTAAAGTGCTGGGAGACGTTGGATACCGTGAAGAACGAAAGTGAACATAATGCATCATGTCCGATGTGTCGGACACGGTGGAAAGGAGATTACGAAGAGACGTGTATTCTCTGCTTTCTGCCACTGACTTCGCAGATGGAGTGGTGGCCAAGGTGTGCGCCAGACGAAAGACAAAGGTTCAAGCACAAAGAAAATAGAAACGGCAATCATTACACATGTCCTTTCGCCATGTCACGAGGTGAATTTCAAACGCGAAGGGTGCCGCATAGTAGGCGCACAAGAGCAAAGACGGAAACAACAGTGGACTGTTTTATTTGTTTTGATGAAATAGTTAGCAACGAGAAGTACGCGTTCGACATGC